TACCTCACCTACCGCTGCCTGTCTGGATGCGCTCCTGCTTATCTCTCCAATCTTCTTATGCCATATAAACCAGCTAGATCCCTTTGTTCTCAGGACAAAAACCTTCTGCTTGTTCCTAGAGCAGATCATTCGCCTACGCAGCTTCAACAGCCTGGAATGATCTTCCCCTCTCTCTCCGGGACACCAGTGACTTCTCTAGCTTCCGATCAAAACTGAAAACTCACCTTTTCCTGATGTCTTTCCAACTTTGCTGAACTCTGAGCATACTTCAGTATGGATATATGCACGTTAGAAATGCCCTATTATTACTATTATTATTATAATGTGTCAAATACATAGTGTGAAGATGAAGGCGAAAGTGGAACATAAATGCATACAAGCCATGTGCTATGACTGAAGGATTGGCTGTACTAAAAGACTTTGATATCACATGTTTGGTTTTAGGAATCTTTGTGCCGGAGGATTTTGTTAGTTGATGCACTGCTTGTACTTTTTTTTATTAAAATGGTGCAGTGTGTGTGTACCAGGAGAGGTCATCAGTGGCGGTATATACGTAGCACTGGTGTAAGTTTGTTTCTATTCACGGGCCAAGGTTTATCATTTGAGCTTTGTATCATATGTCAGGAAACCAGTCGGTCTAAAAATACCTTCTACAACCAGACAGAACTGGGCATCTAATCCATCTTTGAGGCCACCCAGCTCAGGCACAAATTGAAACATTGCAAAGTTCGGTTATCTGTAGACAGGCTTTCGTTCCTCTTTGAAGAATCTCCTGACGGCAACCCTAATCTAAAATGGCACAAACTCTGTTATTCAGCATACACACATTAGGGAAAAATAAATGTAAGGCTTGCCAAGGAACAGTCCAATGCTTCACAAGGAAATGAACAGACTGGTGTTTCAGATGAAGGATACCGCTTTTTACGCAGGGGTACTTCAACAGTGGATTTGTACACAAATGCAAAATATGTACACAAGGCCTTTGTACGTATTGTAGACGTGAATGATTTAATAGCAGCCGAAGCATGCTGTCACATCTAAGTTAATTTCTGTGGGATGCCAAAAGGGCAGAAACTGACAGCAAATGAGCTGATATGGCCATGGCTGTGTAATGGTTGTGTAAGGAGTTATGTCACCGTGCAGAGAATGGACACATATTTGAATTGTCTGCTGTGTTCATGAGGTACAAAGAATTAGCCAGTGAGTCAGACTCTATTATCCCATCATCATATTTCAGTAGACAGGGGACTTCAAGGGACCTTTATCAAAGTGAAGTGGGGTCACTTATGAATTTGTTGCTCATGTCACTGGAGCACGTTGCTCTGAGACTCTGCAGTGATATGTCAGATCCGGGATTCAAATGTTGTGACGTGAGTGAAGAAGTAGAGTTGGCCAGTGTACCTCCTTCTGAAGAAGGTGAAATAGGCGTGTATCTGATGTTGAACGGATTAAGAACACAGGTGTTCGTAGTATGGGGCAAGACATGGTCTACAGTGTTTGCGGGGACAAGGAAGCACCACCTAAACATGTTGGTATGGGTATGACCCTTCATCAATCAACATGCACAGTCAAGAAAACTAATTGAGCTATACCATATAGAATGCTTGGCACATCATCAGTTACACCCGGGTTCTCCAAGCACTAGATCCACAAACTGGGGCAGTGTTTTCAAGGAACTTGGTCTTTGGGAGATTTTCTTTTTCTTTTTTTCTTGGGGGCAGGACACACTTTTTGTGAGAACATCAAACAAGATGGACTTGGTACCTTGGTGCGAAGTGCCCTGTACTTCTAACCCTTGTGTTCTTAACCCGTTCAACATCAGATGCGCCTATTTCACCTTCTTCAAACTCATTATAAACATAACTTTGGCCACCAAGTAAGATGTTCAGTGGCATGTACACTGGCCTACTCTGCTTCTTCACTCACGTCACAACATGTGACATGATATCACTGTGGAGTCTCAGAGCAACGTGCACCTGGGACAAGAGTCCACAATGCACTTGTTTCCTTTATCAAATGATAGGATGATAGAGTCACTGGCTAATTCTTTGTACCTCATGAACACAGCAGACAATTTAAATTCGTGTCCATTCTCTGCATTGTGACATAACTCCTTACACAACCAAGCCATGGCTATATCAGCTTATTTGCTGTCAGTTTCTGCCCTTTTGGCATCCCACAGAAATTTACTTAGACAGTCAATATGATAGCATGCTTCGGCTGCTATTAAATCATTCACGTCTACAATACGTACAAAGGCCTTGTGTACATATTTTGCATTTGTGTACAAATCCACTGTTGAAGTACCCCTGCGTAAAAAGCGGTATCCTTCATCTGAAACACCAGTCTGTTCATTTCCTTGTGAAGCATTGGACTGTTCCTTGGCAAGCCTTACATTTATTTTTCCCTAATGTGTGTATGCTGAATAACAGAGTTTGTGCCATTTTAGATTAGGGTTGCCGTCAGGAGATTCTTCAAAGAGGAACGAAAGCCTGTCTACAGATAACCGAACTTTGCAATGTTTCAATTTGTGCCTGAACTGGGTGGCCTCAAAAATGGATTAGATGCCCAGTTCTGTCTGGTTGTAGAGGGTATTTTTAGACTGACTGGTTTCCTGACATATGATACAAAGCTCAAATGATAAACCTTGGCCCGTGAATAGAAACAAACTTACACCAGTGCTACGTATATACCGCCATTGATGACCTCTCCTGGTACACACACACTGCACCTTTTGAATAAAAAAGTACCAGTGCAGTGCGTCAACTAACAAAATCCTCCGGCACAAAGATTCCAAAAACCAAACATGTGATAGCAAAGTCTTTTAGTACAGCCTCGATCCTTCAGTCATAGCACATAAAATGGCTTGTATGCATTTATGTTCCACTTTCGCCTTCATCTTCATACTATGTATTTGACACATTATCGGATAGGGTTCCCACCTGTTCCTGTGATTTCCTGAACTGTTCTGAGGGTAATTATGTTGCTAAAATCATAAATCAAACTCACTGCATGAATGAAAGCAGTTTTATTTGACATGCATGTGAAGCAGTATAAAAGCATTCGTGTGGCATACATGTAAAAATGCCTATCGCATCCTGTCACACTCATTAACCTTTGAAGTAATTATGCGCTTAATATGCAATTTTTGTGACCTAAACAGTTTGCCTGGAATATAATTCTGTCAACAAAAGGAAAAGATTCAGCCTTGCTTTGCATTTTGAGCAAAAATGCTTGTAAAAAGTAGCTCTTCACGCAAAAACTAAAAGTCGCTCCATAAGGGAGATATTTGCAAAAATACGAAATTTTTCCTTCAGCATTTCCATGAAATCCAACATTTGAAATCCTGTGGTACCATTATTAATCAATATATTGTAAACTGAATTGATTGTATGGATGGAGAATGATAAATAAAAAACTTTTTAAAAAATTTGAATTTTGCACTCATTGACCTTTGAACCCAATTTGTCACCTAATTAGGCATTTTTGAGCTTAGCAAACAACAGATTCGTATTCAGCACGAAAAACTACCCCAGAAAATGTTATTTGCTTGCTTTTACTCAAAAATGCCTCATGCATTCACATTTCTGAGAAATTTGACTAGTCTAATTGATTCGCAAGAAATTACGCTTCCTACAGTCTCAGCAGCTAGTCGAGACGATTTTTCATCGGGCATGTAACTCATTTTCACTCGCCAGTTGCAATCTGCCAGCTAAAATAAATTAAAAACCACATACGTATAACTTGCCTCTTTAAATAACATTCAAAACGACGGATACCAAAGTATCACAAGCAGAATTCATCAACAACATTCGCAATCACGTAACGTTTCGCCGGCGGTGACGCCATTGTGATTTGTCAGTGGTTGTCCCCCCTAACGTCAAAAACGAAGTGGGCGGGGCTTATCGGCCGGGACTGGATCGGTCTATTAGAATGAAGGTGAACTGCAGTTACTGAAATGAAATAATTTTCAAATTCTTGATTGATAGCCATCAACAACACTTGCCACAGCATTTACGCGTTTTAATGCGACACGTCTAGAGGTTGAATATATTTTAAAAATATAACAACAGCAGCTCAAATACGTCTTTAACTGTTATTGGATAAGTAAATATGTATCCTAAAAATAAAAATAAAACTAAGGCATGACCTATTTCGAATATTTTCCTGATACATATGAATGGAAAATCTTTTAATTAGAATAAAACTCATATAAAATATATAAACAATCCATAAAGGTTGGATGCTCAGCGCCAAGATTAGGTATTTCCGTATTGCTGGTTGTACAAAGTATACATATATCCACAAGCCCTACCCTTCCCCTCTTCCCCGTGTTGCTAGTTGTACAAAGTATACATATATCCACAAGCCCTACACTTCCCCTCTTCCCTGTGTTGCTGGTTGTACAAAGTATACATATATCCACAAGCCCTACCCTTCCCCTCTTCCCTGTGTTGCTAGTTGTACAAAGTATACACATATACACGGGCCCACCCCTTCCCGTCTATTGTCTATGTGTTGTTTATATTACAAAGTGTACACATATACACGGGCCCACCCCTTCCCGTCTATTGTCTATGTGTATTTTATGTTACAAAGTGTACACATATACACGGGCTCACCACTTCCCGTCTATTGTGTATGTGTTGTTTATGTTACAAAGTGTACACGTATACACGAGCCCACCCCTTCCCGTCTATTGTCTATGTGTTGTTTATATTACAAAGTGTACACATATACACGGGCCCACCCCTTCCCGTCTATTGTCTATGTGTTGTTTATGTTACAAAGTGTACACATATACAAGGGCCCACCCCTTCCCGTCTATCGTCTATGTGTTGTTTATATTACAAAGTGTACACATATACACGGGCCCACCCCTTCCCGTCTATTGTCTATATGTTGTTTATGTTAGAAAGTGTACACATATACACGGGCTCACCCCTTCCCGTCTATTGTCTATGTGTTGTTTATGTTACAAAGTGTACACGTATACACGAGCCCACCCCTTCCCGTCTATTGTCTATGTGTTGTTTATGTTACAAAGTGTACACATATACACGGGCCCACCCCTTCCCGTCTATTGTCTATGTGTTGTTTATGTTACAAAGTGTACACATATACACGGGCCAACCCCTTCCCGTCTATTGTCCATGTGTTGTTTATGTTACAAAATGTACACATATACACGGCCACACCTCTTCCCGTCTATTGTGTATGTGTTGTTTATGTTACAAAGTGTACACATATACACGGGCCCACCCCTTCCCGTCTATTGTCTATGTGTTGTTTATGTTACAAAGTGTACACGTATACACGGGCTCACCCCTTCCCGTCTATTGTCTATGTGTTGTTTATGTTACAAAGTGTACACATATACACGGGCCCACCCCTTCCCGTCTATTGTCTATGTGTTGTTTATATTACAAAGTGTACACATATACACGGGCCCACCCCTTCCCGTCTATTGTCTATGTGTTGTTTATGTTACAAAGTGTACACATATACACGGGCCCTCCCGTTCCCGTCTATTGTCTATGTGTTGTTTATGTTACAAAGTGTACACATATACACGGGCCCACCCCTTCCCGTCTATTGTCTATGTGTTGTTTATATTACAAAGTGTACACATATACACGGGCCCGTCCCTTCCCGTCTATTGTCTATGTGTTGTTTATGTTACAAAGTGTACACATATACACGGGCCCACCCCTTCCCGTCTATTGTCTATGTGTTGTTTATATTACAAAGTGTACATACATCCGGGAGAACTATCAGCAGGGCTGTTAACCCCAGGAACACAATCCCCACATAGCCCATGGTCACTGACGAAGGACGATCGTCTTTCGCACTCGTCTTCTTTCGTACTGTCTTAGATAATGTCGCCACATTGACTTGTAATTTCTCCACTATCTGTTTGATGTAATCATTGCGGTCGACTACACGCTCTGTTTGAACCCGCTTCCTACAGAAACAGGTGCGAGTTGATTTCGCTAAAACGACAGAATCGGTGTGGTCGACTTTGTTCAGCGGCGTAGAGGAACTGATTGCCTGTGTCGGAGACAGTGATGTCGTGGTATTCACGTCTGACCACGCTGCTGACGCAAGAGGCGCTACAGATGCAGTTTGTGACAGAAAACCTGTTGAGCTAGATCCATCATGAAGGGAAAGGGTAGCAGAAAGGTTGTACGATGAGGACAATACACCATAAGGCGATGAGACGTCTAGAGTCCATGGTGAGGCAGTGTGTGTTTGCGTCAGCCTGTCTTGTGATGATGGTGTGATGTCCTCCAGCGACGACATCGTCCACGTTAATGATGATACTCCCTGTCCATAAGACGAAAACAGCTCGAGTCCTCGTGAGGAAGGAGACTGCTCTACTGTCGACGTTTCCAAATCTGTACTTATCACAACGTTGCTAGATGTGACGCTGGTGCTGTCTTGTGATGATGGTGTGATGTCCTCCAGCGACGACATCGACCACGTTGATGATAATACTCCCTGACCATAAGACGAAAACAGCTCGAGTCCTCGTGAGGAAGGAGACTGTTCTACTGTCGACGTTTCCAAATCTGTACTTATCACAACGTTGCTAGATGTGACGCTGGTGCTGTCTTGTGGTGAAGATGATGGCTGAACTGAAGATAGAACATACGGCAGAATGTAAAACCAATGTCAATAAAATTGTCTTTGAATTTAATCCGAAATTAAGATACCCACAATGTGCAATGCTATGCATCTCATTTGATCGGGACAGCAGTTATGGGTTGTCAAAAATGGTACCTAAGTTTGTACATAGTTAACGACGGTCATGATGACCTTGTCATCAAAGCCTCAAGGTTGCGTCTTGGGACGAAATGTGATGAAGATGATGTTATGTACCTATTCCAAACTGTACGTAGAACTCTGCCCTGCATCCGTCCGACACCCAAATCTTTGTTTCAGTGTAACCGAAACTAACTGTCCGAATGCATTCTGAACTAGACAGCTGCTTCTTCTTCGTGACGCCAATCACTCGGCTGTTGTTGTCAAGATCCGGAATGTTGCACTCGGAGTAGGCGAAACCGTTAGACGAGCACGTCACATCAACCGTCTTGCACTCTTGACAGGAACAAAATCATCAGTTTGAATATGCACCACAATGCTTACGTACACATCATCTTGCATTCTGCACTAGTTTCTCAGTTAGCCAGTGTCGCAAGTTAAGTATATATTATTCTTTTTACTTATTCTGCTTCACAACAAATGCATTTTCCGTCTCTCTCTGTCTCTATCTCTGTCTCTCTCTCTCTCTCTCTCTCTCTCTCTCTCTCTCTCTCTCTCTCTCTCTCTCTCTCTCTCTCTCTCTCTCTCTCTCTCTCTCTCTCTCTCTCTGTGCCAAATTTGTGAATCAAGAAACACAATAACCAAGGTCCCAACAGAACCTGTTTACATACCAGCAACATGTAGCCAGAGGAGGGACACCACCAGGATCCGCTGACAGATCATACTCATGACCTCCCTGAAAGGACATAAATAATCTAATTAGAGCGTGTTTCTTTTAACGTCACTATTTTACCTATGAACGTTTTGTGAATAATCAATACAGGCCACACTAAGCAGAGTGTTTTGATATGTCTATAATACATTGCAGAATACCTGAATACAGCACTAATTATTCATGTTATGTGTTAAATGTTCACCGCCATGAACTTTACTCGTGGGACTTGCCTTGCATACATTAATATCGCTTTAAACCTTTTATAGCACCAGGACCTAAGCCACTTTGACTACTCCGAAGAGATAAGGCATTAAACGTACATTAACTGGTCTCAGTTATATTGGTAGAGCAACAGTAGATAAAAGAAATATATGGAAAGTAAATTATAGTCTAAAGGAACCCGTTTTATGAACTACTAAACACAGTAAACTATTAATCTGGCTAACGACATCATGCTGGGGGCCTTCTGTTATTGAACCATTTTGCTGTTTTAATCACCCTCTGTTCCCCACTTTAAATATGCTCTAATTAACAAAAGCTTTTTGGACTGCTGTAAACTGAAAGATAAAATACCCATTTAATGCACTCAGAAATGAAACATATGTTATATTTGGGATTACAGGTTTGGTAACTGACCCAGAACTGCGTGTTACATCTCTGACGGGGACAAGAACATAGTAGGGGAGATATTCTGGAACGGTTCTCAGACTCTGTCACACGGTGTTATGGTTTGGCATGTGTTTGAATATGTAAGGGTTGAAGGATACTGTTTTGATCTAGTACTATATTTTGTTTATAGCATGTGTTTGAACATGTAAGGGTTGAAGGATACTGTTTTGATCTAGTACTATATTTTGTTTATAGCATGTGTTTGAACATGTAAGGGTTGAAGGATACTGTTTTGATCTAGTGCTATAATTTTGTTTATAGCATGTGTTTGAATATCTAAGGGTTGAAGGGTACTGTTTTGATCTAGTACTATAATTTTGTTTATAGCATGTGTTTGAATATGTAAGGGTTGAAGGGTACTGTTTTGATCTAGTACTATATTTTGTTTATAGCATGTGTTTGAATATGTTAGGGTTGAAGGGTACTGTTTTGATCTAGTACTATATTTTGTTTATAGCATGTGTTTGAATACGTAAGGGTTGAATGATACTGTTTTGATCTAGTACTATATTTTGCTTATAGCATGTGTTTGAATATGTTAGGGTTGAAGGGTACTGTTTTGATCTAGTACTATAATTTTGTTTATAGCATGTGTTTGAACAGGTAAGGGTTGAATTATACTGTTTTGATCTAGTACTATAATTTTGTTCATAGCATGTGTTTGAATATGTAAGGGTTGAAGGGTACTGTTTTGATCTAGTACTATATTTTGTTTATAGCATGTGTTTGAATATGTTAGGTTTGAAGGGTACTGTTTTGATCTAGTACTATATTTTGTTTAAAGCATGTGATTGAATATGTAAGGGTTGAATGATACTGTTTTGATCTAGTACTATATTGTGTTTATAGCATGTGTTTGAATATTTAGGGTTGAAGGGTACTGTTTTGATCTAGTACTATAATTTTCTTTATAGCATGTGTTTGAATATGTAAGGGTTGAAGTATACTCTTTTGATCTAGTACTATAATTTTGTTTATAGCATATGTTTGAATATGTAAGGATTGAAGGATACTGTTTTGATCTAGTACTATAATTTTGTTTATAGCATGTGTTTGAATATCTAAGGGTTGAAGGGGACTGTTTTGATCTAGTACTATAATTTTGTTTATAGCATATGTTTGAATATGTAAGGGTTGAATGATACTGTTTTGATCTAGTACTATAATTTTGTTCATAGCATGTGTTTGAATATCTAAGGGTTGAAGGATACTGTTTTGATCTAGTACTATAATTTTGTTTATAGCATGTGTTTGAATATGTAAGGGTTGAAGGGTACTGTTTTGATCTAGTACTATATTTTGTTTATAGCATGTGTTTGAATATGTTAGGGTTGAAGGGTACTGTTTTGATCTAGTACTATATTTTGTTTATAGCATGTGTTTGAATACGTAAGGGTTGAATGATACTGTTTTGATCTAGTACTATATTTTGCTTATAGCATGTGTTTGAATATGTTAGGGTTGAAGGGTACTGTTTTGATCTAGTACTATAATTTTGTTTATAGCATGTGTTTGAACAGGTAAGGGTTGAATTATACTGTTTTGATCTAGTACTATAATTTTGTTCATAGCATGTGTTTGAATATGTAAGGGGTTGAAGGATTACTGTTTTGATCTAGTACTATATTTTGTTTATAGCATGTGTTTGAATATGTTAGGTTTGAAGGGTACTGTTTTGATCTAGTACTATATTTTGTTTAAAGCATGTGATTGAATATGTAAGGGTTGAATGATACTGTTTTGATCTAGTACTATATTTTGTTTATAGCATGTGTTTGAATATGTTAGGGTTGAAGGGTACTGTTTTGATCTAGTACTATAATTTTGTTTATAGCATGTGTTTGAATATGTAAGGGTTGAAGTATACTCTTTTGATCTAGTACTATAATTTTGTTTATAGCATATGTTTGAATATGTAAGGATTGAAGGATACTGTTTTGATCTAGTACTATAATTTTGTTTATAGCATGTGTTTGAATATCTAAGGGTTGAAGGGTACTGTTTTGATCTAGTACTATAATTTTGTTTATAGCATATGTTTGAATATGTAAGGGTTGAAGGGTACTGTTTTGATGTAGTACTATAATTTTGTTTATAGCATGTGTTTGAATATCTAAGGGTTAAAGGATACTGTTTTGATCTAGTACTATAATTTCGTTTATAGCATATGATTGAATATGTAAGGGTTGAATGATACTGTTTTGATCTAGTACTATAATTGTGTTTATAGCATGTGTTTGAATATGTAAGGGTTGAAGGATACTGTTTTGATCTAGTACTATAATTTTGTTTATAGCATATGTTTGAATATCTAAGGGTTGAAGGATACTGTTTTGATCTAGTACTATAATTTTGTTTATAGCATATGTTTGAATATGTAAGGGTTGAATGATACTGTTTTGATCTAGTACTATAATTTTGTTTATAGCATGTGTTTGAATATGTAAGGGTTGAATGATACTGTTTTGATCTAGTACTATAATTTTGTTTATAGCATATGTTTGAATATGTAAGGGTTGAAGGATACTGTTTTGATCTAGTACTATAATTTTGTTTATAGCATGTGTTTGAATATGTAAGGATTGAAGGATACTGTTTTGATCTAGTACTATAATTTTGTTTATAGCATGTGTTTGAATATGTTAGGGTTCAAGGGTACTGTTTTGATGTAGTACTATAATTTTGTTTATAGCATATGTTTGAATATGTAAGGGTTGAATGATACTGTTTTGATCTAGTACTATAATTTTGTTTATAGCATGTGTTTGAATATGTAAGGGTTGAAGGATACTGTTTTAATCTAGTACTACAATTTTGTTTATAGCATATGTTTGAATATGTAAGGGTTGAATGATACTGTTTTGATCTAGTACTATAATTTTCTTTATAGCATATGTTTGAATATGTAAGGGTTGAATGATACTGTTTTGATCTAGTACTATAATTTTGTTTATAGCATATGTTTGAATATGTAAGGGTTGAATGATACTGTTTTGATCTAGTACTATAATTTTGTTTATAGCATATGTTTGAATATGTAAGGGTTGAATGATACTGTTTTGATCTAGTACTATAATTTTGTTTATAGCATATGTTTGAATATGTAAGGGTTGAATGATACTGTTTTAATCTAGTACTATAATTTTGTTCATAGCATGTGTTTGAATATGTAAGGGTTGAAGGGATACTGTTTTGATCTAGTACTATAATTTTGTTTTATAGCATGTGTTTGAATATGTTAGGGTTGAAGGGGTACTGTTTTGATCTAGTACTATATTTTGTTTATAGCATGTGTTTGAATATGTAAGGGTTGAATGATACTGTTTTGATCTAGTACTATATTTTGTTTATAGCATGTGTTTGAATATGTTAGGGTTGAAGGGATACTGTTTTGATCTAGTACTATAATTTTGTTTATAGCATGTGTTTGAATATGTAAGGGTTGAATGATACTGTTTTGATCTAGTACTATAATTTTGTTTATAGCATGTGTTTGAATATGTAAGGGTTGAATGATACTGTTTTGATCTAGTACTATAATTTTGTTTATAGCATGTGTTTGAATATGTAAGGGTTGAATGATACTGTTTTGATCTAGTACTATAATTTTGTTTATAGCATATGTTTGAATATGTAAGGGTTGAATGATACTGTTTTAATCTAGTACTATAATTTTGTTCATAGCATGTGTTTGAATATGTAAGGGTTGAAGGGTACTGTTTTGATCTAGTACTATATTTTGTGTTACAGCATGTGTTTGAATATGTTAGGGTTGAAGGGTACTGTTTTGATCTAGTACTATATTTTGTTTATAGCATGTGTTTGAATATGTAAGGGTTGAATGATACTGTTTTGATCTAGTACTATATTTTGTTTATAGCATGTGTTTGAATATGTTAGGGTTGAAGGGTACTGTTTTGATCTAGTACTATAATTTTGTTTATAGCATGTGTTTGAATATGTAAGGGTTGAATGATACTGTTTTGATCTAGTACTATAATTTTGTTTATAGCATGTGTTTGAATATGTAAGGGTTGAAGGATACTGTTTTGATCTAGTACTATAATTTTGTTTATAGCATGTGTTTGAATATGTAAGGGTTGAATGATACTGTTTTGATCTAGTACTATAATTTTGTTTATAGCATATGTTTGAATATGTAAGGGTTGAATGATACTGTTTTGATCTAGTACTATAATTTTGTTTATAGCATATGTTTGAATATGTAAGGGTTGAATGATACTGTTTTGATCTAGTACTATAATTTTGTTTATAGCATGTGTTTGAATATGTAAGGGTTGAAGGATACTGTTTTGATCTAGTACTATAATTTTGTTTATAGCATGTGTTTG